TGCAATATCATAACTTTTTATACGCTTATTGTGTGCTTAAGGGAGTAACGTAGTCTTATTTGATTTTGCTTGAACCCAAATCCTCTTGAGTACAAAGGTTTTACTCGAAAAGTGCAATTAAGCTCTACTCTGTCCTAACTAACGCAAATTTTAAATAGCAAATGAAGCCAAGTCCTCCAACACCCGTTCTCTCACCCAACGCTGAGAAGGCTTTTCGGGTCTTGCTTGCATCTATTCGTATAATATGGCCGAGTCGGCCAAGCCTCTCTTTCGATGTTGCCATTGTTCATGCTTCTGCGCCATATAGCAGAGCAGGCACTTATTCATAGAGCGGGATTTTTTTGTTAGACGGCAGAGGACTTTACTTACCTCTCAAAAGTCCAAAATAACATTTCTTTGTAAAAGTAATTCTAGCTGGATTTGAGGTCTGGCATTAGTATTAGGGGTGTTATGATGTCGATATAATCGGCTTGGTTGGTTGGTAGGTTTAAGTGGATTGTCACCCTAGTGAGAAGCAATTAGGAAGTTTGTCACAACTCGTGCAACCTCCAGTCATTTGGCGGCTTTAATAAATTTCAGTACGTCATACAGAGAGAGGTAGCTGCACTCAAAAATATTCTGCAGGAATGGTTTGCCGAGTATCTTTAGCCTTATCCTTGCGAGGCCTGTACACTCGCACAGTAAGTATTCGACTGTCTATTTTGAGTCAGGGTCGTCGCAACTGCGACAAAACCTATTGAAGGGCTGGCTCATGCTTTTGGCATGTACCCCAATGGGCCAGCGCCCTGTGCATTCGTTCCTAAGAAAGATTTGGTTTTAAGTGGGTCGTAGGATACCGGTACTGCCGGGTAATGCTATGCAACTCTGCCTAGCCTTTCAGTGATTTTTATCCCAATCTCTCTTAGCGAGATGCCCAGAGTGTCCACCGCGTGAGACACATTCATTGCGGAGCCGTTCCTTGCTAGTTCGTCCGCTTCCTCGTTTACGCAAATGTCTATGTCCCGGGACCCATATTAGGGTAATTTTGTATTGATCAGAAATATCGGCCAGCTCTCTCCTACATTCATCCACTAGTTGAGATCTAACATACGTAGAAGAGAGTGCCTGAATGGCCGAGTGGATGTACACCTACGTTTACGCAGGTACGTTCTCTTTAATGTACCTTACTGCCTCCTTAATAGCGTATGTTTGGGCATGAAAAACGCTTATGAGGCATTCCAAGCTATTTCAATGAAAATTACGATTTTTTTTAGATTTTGATATAAACTGAGTATAATGTAGAAATACCTCTAAAATATGGCAAAACGCGAGGAATGTAAAAAAAAAATAAAATTTGCAAAAGTTATACAACAATAAAAATATTAGCCATTATTTATCACATCATAACTCGATAAATATTGGTTATATCAAAAAAATCAATTAGTACTTTTTTATTGACACAGAGTCAGAGATTTATAAAAGATTTTTAATTTCTTTTTAAGTCCACTTTTCTATAAGTTTATTAATAAACAATTTAGAAAGTTGCTAAAAAAAACGTGTTTGCTGGTTTTTAAAAATCTGCAAAAAATATATGTGATAGAGTGAATATCAAAGATTTAACTGACAAAATGTTAAAGGGTGTCTCGATATAGGGCCTGAGATTATTAATTGTTTGGTAAAGCAGTGACTGATAAAACAAAATTAAAAAATACAAAATTTTAATTCAAATTACATCAAAATACGTCAAGTGGGCCACCTAAAAACCTTTTCTTTCGGATAACCAAGATAGGTTCGTACTTTGGTAGAGGTCCAGGTAATATTTGTTTCCCTATACTTTATTTTGCAATAATCCTCTTACTTTGCGAAAAATCGCGAATTTAAAATTAACATAATCATTTCTTTGATTGGCCATTTCTCCTAAACCGGCAGAGATAACTTAATCATTTTGGTTTAAATTAAGCACAGATTAATAAATTTTTCACAACAATATGGGTATCAATCGAAATGGTTTTAAAAAGGCTTTATTTCATGATTCTATTCTGTTTGAAATATTTTTTACAGAGTTTCCACCTTTTTACAAACTTAAATTCAACGTATAAAATAGGTTTCAAATGTATTTGGTTATGAAAAAAACTTTATCTCTAAACAACATGTAGGCGGGTTCCCACCTCTTTCGAAAATTAAATTCAACTTGAATTAAGGGAATTCGATTATTTGAATATGTATCACAACACGGGTGTCAGAATAAAAAAAGTTTAACAGGGGTTCGTTTTAAATTGTTTTGAACAGAATCGACACCTGTTTGAAAAGTCAAATTTAATAAAAATTTTTTTAAATATTAAACATCAAACGAAAGAGTGGTAAAAAATCCTTGGTTTGAACATTTAGAATATCAAAGAGAGTTTGCCTCCTGCATTTATTGAAAGATGATCCAAGTTCCGTTCCTTCACAATTTGCTTGGTACTTTTATCAATGCTTTTCTAGGAGTTTTCCTCCGTATATAATTAATCTGTTTTTTTTTTTAAATATTTCTCATACAAAAAAGCTTAGATACATATGTGTGTACATATTCAGGGCCGGATTAAGAGTGTTGGGGCCCTCTTTGAGTTAATAAATACCTGCAATTAATTGGAAAATTATTTATATTTTCATTTTAACAGTATCGTTAATTATTGACTTCTAACCACGTGTTTTCTTTTGAAATTCTAGCCTGAATTCCTTTGTATTTTCCGCTCATGTTGCACTCAGTATTAAACGACTGACAACAGAAGTCTCGCGTATGAACAGAGATGGATTAGTACGACTGTTTTGTCTTTTTGATCCGGCTTATTATTTCTGCCTGTACTTTCTCATCCCTCAAAGTTATTATTTCCTTGCAAGTTGTTGAGGATGATTATTAATTAAAGCATGTTTTTTTGGGTGACTCTTTAATGGTTATATACCATTATTTGCACCTTCTTAATGATTAGTTGTTAACAACTTAAAAAAAAATAATTAATTTTAATTCCATGATTATTTTTGATTATTTTCAATTATTTTTTAATTGCATGATTAATGTAGTTATTTGATAATTTTCAGTTAATTTTAATTCCATGGTTAATACAATTACATACATGATTATTTTAAATTATTTTTGATTTTTTTAATTATATGATTAATATAATTATTTTATTATTTTCAATTTTAGTTTTTGTTTTCAATTTTGAATAATATATATCAAAGCAGTTAATATACATATGATAAGAATCAATACAATTTTATATTACGATAAATATACAATGAGAATAACAAAAAGACAAAAGAGAAAATAATCAAAACACAGCACTTGTTGCTTTGCTTTGATATTTTTTTTGCTAATTAAAAAAAAATACTGTATCTATTTGAAAAAATAATTAAAAATAATCACATAAGTAGAAATAACCAAATAATTGAAGATAATAAAATATAAATAAAATAAAAGTAATTAAACTATTAAAAATATTCAAATATTAAAAAAATAATTTAACTAATTTTGATTATTTGATTATTTCTAATTATTTGATTATTTTTATTTACTTGATTACTTTTTATTATTTTTATGATTCCAAATAATCATGATTATTTTTGGTTATTTTTAATTACTTATTAATTGCTTGGTTATGTAAAAAAATTAAAATAATAATTAAAATTAAAAAATGCAAAACAATTAATGATTATTAATCGTAATAGAAATTTAATAGCTCTGTCCATTTTTGGATGAGTCGAAAATCTCACCAGAGCCAGCAGAAGCTAAGCTAGGTTCCGCAAGATGTATGGATGGTGCTGACAAATCTTCTTAATATTTAGCGATATTTTCTGTAATCTCTGAAAAATTATTTCTTGTTCTTTCGTCATCACAAGTGGGCGCCCTTTGCCGCGGCCCCATCGGCCCTGCCCTTAATCCGGCGCTGTACACATTACTTCAGTGCTTGTTATAAATCTTGCCAAGAGAAAAAGTGTTAATAGTTTTGTATTACATTTTTGAAAACCATTTCTTGTACTATTGCAAAATTATACAATCCAATTGAATGAAAGAACACAATTTAAACCATTTTATGTTTTTTTAGTAGGTAGAATTAGGGTTTTGTTAATATATTTTTTTGTAATAAACTAGTTGCAGCTGTTCTGTAGATTTTATCTGAGCGAATTTTGATTGTATTTTTTCATTATAGATTTTATAACTAAATACACACCAACAATTACCCTATATTCAAATCTACAAAATGCTTAGGCTAGGTAAGTACTATTATTAATGATACATACATATGTATAAACAAATGTTCTAAGTATTCACATCTAAAATATATTTACATATGTATATATGTATATTTCAATATATAAATAAGTGCTAGTAACCAAGATTAATGACTTGAAAGTAAATATTTTTCAGAACCCACTAGAAATCATAAAAGCCGGTCGGTGAAAGCAATGAGCGACAAATATACATGCATTCATACTTATGTACATATGTATTATTATTTTAATACTTATGTCTCAGCCAGGTACATGAAGATGTTTTTTGCACAAAACCTATCTAATCGCGAAACCCTTACCAATATTACTTCCACACTGACTGACTGAGTGTATTCATATTGGCGCCTATACTTACGAGTAGATAGAATTATTGTATATACATATACTTGTATATAAATATAACTATGTGTTTGTCCTGCTGCTGCGGCTGGAGCAAACATAATAAATAAAAAAATCGAAAATTTAAACCGCAATCATAAACTTGCAAAAAATTTACCTATATAAAACCGGTACTGCGAAGTCTCAGCAGCTGCCAGTTGTGAGTACTGATACATATATGGCGGACGTACACAAGCGGCGGCTGTGTGTAGATTGAAGCATAGTTATTGGCGTTTGAGCAGCGTGTTTTTCAACTACTTAGACGTATTGTCATGCAAATAGGGAGTGCTCCCCTTTAAATTAAGTTAAATTAAAAGTTAGTAGTTTTTAATTGAAAAAGAAAATATTTTACAAAATAAAAATACAGAAATATGTCCAACACCGAAAGCGTTTCTATATGGAGCAAACGCTATCGCATGCAAATATTGGTAACCGTTGTGGGTGAGTGTGATTTATATAAACACGAAATAAAATCATAATCGAAAAACTTAAACGAAAGAAAAAAAAATTTTATTAGAGTAATGGATTTTCATTGTGCCCAGATTACACCGTGCGACAAAAACAAAAAAAATTAATACACACGAAAAAGTTAATGTAGTATTTTTTTTGGTTCACAAGGACGAATATAAAGCTAATAAAGTTAGAAGGACAAAGTTCGAGGATGCAGTCGAGCTTATACTATATCATAACATATCGTTACCTAAAGCTGAAAAGGTGCCAAGTGCATTTTTTGAGATTGCTAGGAGAGACGGAAAATTGGTGTAGTTTTGCATCAAAAACTAAATTTTGAAAAAAGTAAACCTTTAGGTAGCGATGTATATGTTTTTTAAATAAAAAATGCGAATTTTCTGAAAGGAATCAAATTTGTAATACCTTTTTGTCCTTATACACCAAAAATGTAACCCTAAATTCTAGCAAGTGTAACCCTTTTCAATTCTAAAAAAATTTTCCCTTTAATTTGATACCCATATTGTTATTCTACATTGCACTGAATTATTAAATAATTCTTTGAATCACGGGCCAACCTAATATACTATATTCACGCACGCCGCACAGTGTTCTATTTTGTGAAAAATACCGCGAGAACGAGATAAGATAGATAAATAAATGTAACGGTATTGCAAAGATTTTGAGATGTAAAATATAGGAAAAATAGTATTGTTGATCAAAAAATTACCTTGGCCTTTAAAATTACCTTCAAAAAGCAGAAGAAAGGAAGTTTTAAATATTTTCCTTTATTGACCTAAAAACTGTATGCAGCGAAGTTTTGAAAATATATATGTACATATTTTTGCTGTTCTTGCATCACACAATACCTTTTCATGGTCGCGAAAGCTAAGAAATGCCTTTTAATTCTTTTTCTAAAAGTTCATTGCATGCTGTTTTTAGCTCGAAAGCAGAAAAATATTCAAAAATTTTACTTTGAAGATCGGCTTTGAGGTCAAGGTAATTTGTCTTTCAATTAGGCCTTTAAAATAACCATCAAAAGTAAAATTAAAATTTTTTCGTAACTTTTTTAATATATATCAAAACAGCTTGAAATGAACTTTTCTTTTTTAAAAACAATTTAAAATGCGGTTTTTGGTACTCGTTGACAATAAGAGCGATACCCTCTTATGTAGATTTTGAACGTTTTATGGTTTTCGTGGAAATTTTTTTTTTTTTTTGTAAAAAATTCTGTTGTTAAATATATGTGTGTTATATATTTTTCCAACACATCGTTTTATACACGCATTGTTTGTTAATTTTTATAGTATTCTATAATTTTTTTCTTATTTGTTTTTCCCTTTCTCCAGCTCATATAATGACCTTTACACATGGCATCAGTTTGGGTTGGCTCTCGCCCATTATACAAGTTCTGCAATCACCTGATTCACCGCTAAATTTCACAATCACCACCGATCAGGTGTCTTGGATTGGCTCATTATTTGGCATTGGCTTTTTAGTTGGTAATATTTTCTTTGGTCTCACTCTGGATCGCTTGGGTAGGAAGGTCAATATGTATTTACTGGCTATTCCGCATATGGTTAGTTTAATTTCACATATGTATGTGTATAAATAGAAGTTCAAGTAAGAACAAAGTAACTGTCCTATAATAGTAACACAACGTTTAAAAAAAGAAAACTAAAGTTTTGAACATATAGTATGTAAGTATGTATGTATGTGGGAGGAATATTTTATGAAGAACTAAGCATACATAATTGTTCTATAAAAAAGTAAAGCGTTTTAAAGCGTTTGTTTATAGACCGCATAACGATTAAACAGTTACATACTATATGTATATGAAGTTTGCAAATTAATAAACTTTCTAGTTTAGATATCAAACCAGACAAATTTTCCCAAAATGCTTCAGAAATATAAGTATTCTTCCGAATATAGTTTCTTTTCCTTATTTTCTATGATATCCTCAACATCAAACTTTATTTCTAAAAAAAAAAATTATTCAGTATAACCTTTCTTCATCCAAATCTTCAGCTTTTTTGGATTTTGAGCTATGCAGCACAAAGCATAGACTATCTGTATGCGGCACGTTTCTTCGCCGGTTTTACGAGCAGCGGCCTGTATGTGGTCATACCGATCTTCATCAGCGAATTATCAGACAAAGAGTAAGTACAATTCAAATAGGAAAATTAAGAAGACTTAAGTTGACTTAATAAAATGTAGATTAAAGTAGAGAATCTCGTGAATCAGATCAGAATATGTATGCACATTAGGGTGGTCCAAAAATGTATGGGAGAAAAGTAAAATCGGCAATTTAATGCTCCCCCCTAGGATTGTTCTATACCGAAAAAAAGTATACCCCTGTTTTTTTATTTTAAAATCAAAATATATTTAGAGGTCGCTCAAAGCGCTCAAAGTTTCCCATGTATTTTGTATGGGGAAAAAAAATACTTTTCGTAGAAATAGCATAGAATCCATGAAAATAAAAATTTTTCATTCTGAAAACTCTGCTTCTCTTCAGAGGACTTCAGAGAATACGGCCCAATTGTTTATTTAAGCGTCCTCCGGCCTTAACCAATTTTGGCGGTTTGGTATATTTAGCATCAGTTTTTTTTTGTTCAAACTAGTGACAAAGTTGAACATTAAAAAGTAATCACGTTCAAAAGTTACAATTATGTCCATTTCCACACGGCATATTTTAAATGGCACCAATTTTTTGTCATTTCAATGCCTAGTGGAAATTCGACATTAGTTTCAACGCATAAAAATAGCTCCGAAAAATTTCGCTGTGTAAATTTAAATTTTAAAACTAAAAGTTTACAACGCTCAGATAATTCTTATTATGGAGCACATGGCAGCAGAAAACTTTCATTGAGAAAGGCAATGGTTCTTTTTAGTGATTATAAAAAGTGTAAACATGCTTACGTGTATCCATATTATCTATAGGTATAAGCATATGTATACATACATACATATGTATGTCTCCTTACTGTCACAGGTGGGATACGATTTTATAGTTGTCAAATATTGACAGCTTATCACTACAACTAAACGAATATTTACAAACAACTAGCCAGAAACTTTTATATTCCACATAGACGGAAGAAATACCTATAGATACAGTATCTACATTAGGGTGGTCCAAACATTCGTAGGGGGGGNGGGGGGGGGGGGGGAATCAAAGTCCGATTTTTTATGATTTCACCCCCTACGATTGTTCTACATCGGAAAAATATTCCCCTGTTTTTTTATTTTTAAATCAAAAAAATATTTAGAGGTCGCTCATAGCGCGCCCAAAGTTTTCCATGTATTTTATATCGGAAAACTTTGTTCCTCTTCAGGAGATGTCTAATAATAATACCCAATTGTATATTTTAGCATTTTTTAATATTAGCGAGGTTTTATTTTTGTACATTTTGGGGTTTAGGTGAGCTATAAAAAATATTTCATATTACAAAATGGCTAAATAAATCATTGGGTGATATTATTGAAAGGCTTCTGAAGAGAAAAAAAAAGTTTTTCGTTGGAGAAATATTGATTTCCAAGAATTTTATGCTGTTTCTACGAACAATTTTTTCGCCCATATAAAATACTTTGAGCGCATTAAAATTAAGACTTTCCTCCTTTTTAACCACCCTAATCTACATACATATGCATACTATTTACAAACATACATACAGGCATGAGTACTTATATTAATCAGTTTACGAGCAATGACTTTCCTTAATCTTAACAGAAAGAAAGTTCGAATCATTTAAGAAATTTTGTAGGCCAACTACATTTGCATTTGCATCGGGGCAAACTTAAAACCTGTGACGCTTAAATAAAATTGGCAAACTATAAAGCAAACTAACGGTGTGACCAGGTTAGCCTTTTTATAAAAATAATAACCATATCAAACATACTTAATATTTCAAAAACTTTTGTTTACCGTTCAAATATTACAATAACAGAGCAAAGTACAATTTCCTTTAGAATATACTTTCTTAGCTTTTTCTTAGGTTTTAAAAAAATAGTACTTCGAAATTTTCCTTATACCAAGGCGAATTTATATAAGGTGGTGTTACTAGATTAGCTGATTTTGTGTACCGCGAATGAATATACTAACTTATTTTTAACTTAATTTTTCACAGAGTATAACTTTTTCCAACATTATTTCACAACCAATTTAGCCTCGCTTTTTGTGATCATCTGGCCATACTGCAAATATATCATCCAACAACAGCAGCGATACTTTAAATTAAGTATCTTCTAAAAGCAACACTCCACTAAGATTTCTCTTCTTATCGTCTCAAAATATAATGCCCTAAAATAATATGCTAAGCTCTTGCACGCTTATTTATTTTGCTCGCAATTTTTATTACTATTTTCGCTGTTTTATTACATTTTAGAATACGTGGCGGCCTCACCGCAATGGCTATGGGTTTCCTCAGTACCGGCATTTTGGTTGGCTATGCGCTGCCTGCATATCTCGGCTACTTCTTGGTGCCTTGCATTATAATTGTTTTGCCGATCATTTATCTAATTGCTAGCTGGGTATTTCCAGAGACGCCACAAAGTCTGCTGAAGAGAGGACGTACTGTAAGCGCGGAAAATTCTTTTAATTTTTACAAAAGTATACCCAAGCCAGAGGAGAATACGACACCAAAATTTAGTAGCGACTTGGAATTACCACGGCCTGCGTTGCCGGCGCGAAGCGAGTTTGATGAATTGAAGGAGATTATTCTGTCGAGTGGATTCGCCACGCCCATAACTATAAAGGATTTCTGTAAGTTTTTGTGTCAATAAGTAGCCGAATATGTAGGCATGTTTTAATTGATTAAGATAGCTACGGAAGCTCGAATACAACCTGTCTGAATACATTTATACGAGGCGAGGTCTATAATTCGTCAAGTGATGAAAAAAAATCTGTCAAAATCTCAAAACTTTCTCATAGTACCGAGAGGTCTTCCAAAGAAGTGATTTTNTTGTCCTAACCTATCCCTCAAACGACCTCTTAATAATTCTTCCACACATCTTACAAGCCCATTTCTCTCTCCCTCTTTTACTCTCCTTTTTTTCAGTCACCAAATCGGCCATATTCAAATTTTTCACCGCCTTCATTATGTGCATTCTCAATCAATTCTCCAGCAGCTTCGTCTTTGTCAGCTATATGTCCGCTATTTTTGCATCATCCGGTTCGACGATGGACCCCAATGAGTGTACTATTTATATGGGTGTGGTTGAGATAGCCGGCACGGTGACGTCCACTGTGCTAGTAGAACGTTTCGGTCGCAAAGTACTGTTGCTTTCATCAACAGCGACGATGGCAGCGTCGATGTTTGCTTTCGGCATTTTTGTCCAATTCACCGATGACGTAACGAAGGCACAATACGAATGGGCGCCAGTGTTGCTGATGGCTTTGGTTGTGTACACGGCCGCTTTTGGCATTGTTGGGCTGACCTATACGATTATTGTGGAAATTCTGCCGGCAAAGGTGAGTAAAATTTGAGTTAAGATGGAATGATTCGGGTGAGAACTTATTTACGTATGAACATATGTACATTAAGGTGCCTCGATGATTATAACTTATCCCGACTTGAACTTGAATTAATGAATTGTGGATATGATCAATACTACTACATAGGTCTCAGTTGCAGTAAATCCAAATTTCTATTACTTCAAAGATACTAAAGAAAAGAAAATTCAAGGAGTATTTTTACGTACAGAAAGTGGCATATCTATGTATAAGTAACCGAAGATAGATGTTGGCTCTGACTTCGAAGTTTCTCACAGAAAAGAGGAGGAATCCAACAGCTAGGCTAATATATATAAAGTTTTTGAGGCCGACAAAAACTAACTCGGTACAAGATTAGAGCGTAACGATGTGTCAAGAGGAAGCTGGCATATTCACACATACAACGATTTGTTGAGGACTCTAGAGAGGGTGCTAAAAGTTGATGTACTGATATCCATATATACAGAGTATCTTGATCGGTCTGAGCATCGTGCGATGAGCGGAACATAGATCTTTTGAGGGGAATACCGGCAGTACACAGCCATATCAGCCACGCAGATATCAGGTTTGAAGCCACGATTTCTGTGAGAAATTGTTCTTCCTGTGGAAAATCCCCGCGCTGTGATATAAGCTCTACAAAATTCTGTAAAAGCATTTATATGAGGATCTGGTGCTAAGAACCGTCTCACTGTAAAGACTAACTGGATTTTTTTTTTACCTATAGGGTTGATTTAAGTGCATGTAGGTAGAGGATAGGATAGGACATGATAGTTTAGGATAAGATACGATAGGATAGGATAGGTAAAGATAGTATACATCAAGCAAAGAATAACTTTTGCTTACAAGCAAAAGCAGAAAAACCTGTGAGCACTCGGGATGAACGACTGACGCAACTTCGTAAAAGAACAAACGGTCGTAGTGCCAAATAAAAAGATCCATCTCTGACTATACGAGAAACGCAGTGGGGGGTACAAAAAAATACGTATTTTGTTCTGGGACACTCTAATGCGCATATCTGTATAAAATCTATAAACATTTTGAATGGGGATAAATAGAAATGGTACCGAGCTGATAGGGGAAATTACTTGGTTTGTTATTTATGTTGTTATCGGAATGGAAAAACGATATCGATAATAATTTCCATGAAAAAATCGATAAGCTTTTTAACAACGGTATCAATAAATAAATTTATAAAAAAGTATCGATACCACTGAAATTGACAACGATATTGGTAAATCATATATCGATGACGATATCAAAAATAAAATTTACTAGTCTTAAAACGATCGATAGCACTTACACTTACTTACAATTACTGATATTCTGAAATGATTATACTCAATTTTAAGTTTCAACAAATTTCAAGTACGGTGCTTGTACTCAGTATAGGTAGCCATATATTTACCGTAATTTGGGATTAATATATTAATTTGAATAAAATATCGGCCGCTTGTGAGATTTCTACACTAAGCATTGAAATGTTACCAAAATACATATGTATATTTAAAGAGAGTACTCAGTACTCTGGAAAATATACGATCCTAAAAAATTTTGTTACCGAAGAACTCGATCCTCAAAAGTACTCGATATGTACTTCCCAAAACTAAAAATTACTACTGAAATTTTTATCGACATATTCTTGTCAATTAATCGCATAGTGACATATTTACCGAAATCTTCCTCGATTTCATTAAAATGTAGATATCGATACCAAATATCTGTATTGATGAATATATTTTAATGATGTCGAGAAAGATATCGCCATCTACATATATATATCAATAAATACATTTAATGCTTTCGAGTAAGATAACGAAAAATATGTCACAATGGGATTAGTTAATATCAGCATGTCGATATCAATGTCAATATTCATATCCAGTATGAATATATTTCGAAAACTTGTCAACCCATTTTTTAAAGAGAATAACTACAGTGAGTGTTGGTAAAAATAGTGCAGTACTTTTTTAAATTTTTTTATGTTGACTGTGTTGCACATTTTCATCCATATGAAATACTCATAACATGCGATCGATCATTCACGATGTGGAAAAAAATCCAAAATGACACTGTTAAAAAATAAATAAAGATAAACCGCTTTTTTCAGATTCGCGGTCAAGCTCAAGCGATAAGTATGG